TGATATTGATATATCGGCCGATATTCTTTGTGTATATTATAGTACAGTACCAGTCAAAAGTTTGGACACTTTCCCGTTCGTGTGTCCAAACTCGAGTGTACGTCTAGAGGCCCGCTTTCGAATGAGACCACCTCCGCGTCGATAGCCCCCGGGGTTCGGGAGTTAGGGGTGGTTAAATTCGAGGTCCGGTGCCGACCGATCAAGCGATCCTGGGGAGCTACCGACGCGCGGAGGGTGGCGTTCGAGAGGGCTGAAGATATCCCCCGAATTTGGTGTGGATTCGCCGAGCCGTTACGGAGATATGGCCGTTCAAAGTTTCAATGGTTTTCCATAGACATAAGCTTTAAAGCGTTTCATCCAGGTCGCCAGTAGCAAACAATAGAGCGCGCTCTGCTGGACAAACTAAGTAATTACACCATTTCAAGCATTTTATCTGCGTTATATGTTCTGTAAAAAAAATGTTCATATCGGCGGCATATTCGCCGATACCGATATATCGGCGACAGGCTCATATCGGCCAATAATATCGGCAAAACGATATATCGGTCGGGCTCTAATATTTATAATGTTGATAAAACAGCAAAAAAAAAAAAAACTTTTAGAGATTCGACTGAATATCTTTTATCATTATCCCATGATAAATTACCACATATAATAAAAACATTGTCTAGTGTTAAAAAAAAAAAATCCAAGTATCCTGAAGTTATGATCATTTTGTACGAAGAACAAATTGAAAATTAGGATCAATTAAAAAAATCTTTCCCACCTCTGAAACTTTTTGGAACTTTTTGGGTGACCTGTTGCTTTAAGGATGATTTGATTTACAATGCGATCAAAACATCTACCAGACCACAAATCAGACCACATACCGTAACTTTAGAAGTGGTTCATATTGTGTTCCTCAAGTGGCGCTCTCAGGCATTGATCTGGGAGGGGTGTCATCTTTAAGCTTATAATGAGCAGGGCAGGGGGGAGCGCTGGAACACCTGATCCTGAGCTGCAGTTTGGAGCCAAGTGTCAGCCAGAGGGAATTTAATACTGACACTTTCAGACGGAGTGATCTAGGAGAGACAGAATGGGGTTTATCTTTATCACCTCAGGAACATGCCAGCAGCCACATTCAAACAGATTTACACTTTACAGCTTCAATAAGTAATTTATATTCTCACAGAGAACTGCTTAAGACTATATAGTCTTGGATTTTCAGAAAATGTGTTCACTCTAAATCCATTTTGTAGGTTGTTTCGAAGTAGGTTTTGTAGGTTTTTTTTAAGTCAAAATCCACAAGACGTCTTCATGAGGATACTAGTTAATTAGCATACAATACAAACACTTTGAAACTTGTCGTAACCCCTCACTACCAAAAATCAGGCCACACAAATGATTAGCTAAGACTGTGAGTCAGGCTTAGCTCTTTCTGAATACAACAGTAGGACAATAATGGAGGGAATTAGCAAGCTAGCATTAAGCTCTGCAAAAACAACAGGTTGCCTTTATAAACAAGCGAACAACAATAAACTCTTTGTTCCCTAAACCTTGTCTGACTGAAAATGGTTGGCAAAGCAAATCTAACATTATGGTTTTATCTTAGCTCACTACACAATAGTGCTAATATTGCCAACAATCATTATGGTACCATGTCATTAGCATTTAACATGAACTGACAAACAAATCATTGCCAAAATCCATATGGGCAAAATCTGGCAGCCATCTTGGTGTAATTAGGGCTGCTGCTCCAAACTGGACCTAACAGGATCCCTGTTAGTGGCCATTGGTAGTTGCACCATCTGTCCAAGTGATACAGTCTGCAGCAAGCGATACAATGGTGACATTGTACCATTTAATGTCAGACATAATTAGTATTATTGTTGTTAATGGTACAAGGTAATTGGGAGTTGGAGGCCACAGATGAACCTGACACCCTCTGGTGGTGCACCACAGGCTAATGAAGCTCTCCGTGCCCGGGACCGATGCCAGGCCAAAGACTGAGATCATCAGCTCATTCACGGCTGCTGATTGCACAACCAGACTTTTAGTTTTGAAGGGTATTGAAACGCACTATTGAAAGTTAATGGTAAACCAAATTGAATGGGTCAAAAAATGAAAATTCTGTCATTATTGACTCACCCTCATGTTGTTCCAAACCCTTATGCCGTTATTTTTTTTCAGTGGCCCACAAAATGAGAATTTATTAGAATCTTCACACAGTTCTTTTCTAAACATGAAAAAAAGGTGTGTTGACAAAAATCAATGCCAAATGCCTTGCTTCTCTCATATATCCATGTGCACCTGATATTTGATTCGACAGCTACAGTAGATGGATTTCAACTTAAATTCTGATCTGCTCCTCACAAATAGCTATCACGTGACTTTGAACGAGTTGTGTGGAATATTTTTTATAATGGTGCATTTTAGAGTTTCACATTTCCATATTCACATTCATTAGATGGAAACGGGTCAGGATATGCTGCAAAATTCATTTTGTGCTCCACAAAAAGATTATTACAGTATATGCAGAGGATGAGTACTGGCAAATAATGTCAGAATTTCACTATTCCTTTCACACTTTACATACTCTTTACAGTTGAATTGATTGATGGTGTAAATGGTAATTTTAGTAAATTTTACTAAATTCGAATATAAAATTGAACAAATATTAAATATTAAAAAATATATTAGCATTAGTATATTGGTTAGAAATTACTTTACCAAAAGTAAATAAGTTACTTTACTTTGGGTTAGAAGTTACATCAAGTAATGCTGTTACACAGATTCTGTCTGGTCATGCTTACAGGCCTCAGAATAGGCATCTCATCACCATTACAACTTTTACTGTGATGGACAAATTGGATAATCCACACAAATACACAGCCAATAATGGCTTTTATGAAATGTGCAACCATGGTATTAGTTAGAATGGTTAACTGCACAATTACTATGTGCAGTTGAGTTGGATCAAAACAGGCATGTTTGATGTGAGACTTAATCTTGCTTACCCTTGATCATCCTTGAATCTCGAGGGTCTTGATTATCTCCGCTTGTACGTGGAGTGTCCTTGGAACTGAACAACACTTAACAGAAGAGACAGAGAACGACATAACGAAAAAAAGAGAATTAAAGACAGACAGATGTGCACAAACACGTTTTGCTCCGAGGCATTCTCTCCTTAGATGGAAGGGCCGAAATTGAGAAGAACAACTGCATCTTCCCAGGACTGTCAGTGGAGTGTTTTATGTTGTGTTTGTGACTATGTGTGTGTTCTCTAATGATGGGCACCTGGAAGGTTTTGATTTGTGTGTCGTAAGAGAAGTAGCGTTCGTAGGTGCAGGAGTTTCTGAGGTCAGATTCTCATCAGGAACCTTTTACCTGAGGAGACAGACGGGTGTTTGGTCTAGCTGAATGTGAATGAGTATGTCTGGGTGTGAAACAGAGCAGATAAAATAACAGAGAGAGAGACAAAGTGCAGAACACAGATGGAGAGATAAAAAACGAGACAGATGTACTTTCTAGAAACAGACTCAGTTGTGAGGACTAAATTCTAATTAAAGTAAAAGCTTGCACAAGAAACATCTTACATAATTGCCATACTACCAATAAAAGTAACTAATTATGCTAAATAATTACTCTGAACAACAATCACTGTTACTTTTTCCTCTTTTAGAAGAGTTTTTTTTTTTTACTTTGGAAATAGAAAAATTATATATATATATATATATAATAATAAAATAAATAAATACAAATAAACTGCATAGTTTCACTTTATTTATTTTTTTCATAGCCTTTAATATGTATTGTTTCGTTGGACAACATTGGGCGGGCTGTGAAGAGTAAACAAAAAAAAAATAATAAAACAAATAATATATATATATATACAGTATGTTACCTTATTTTATATCTCAGTATATACAATTTTATATTCTTTGAATATTTTATAGCCGTCACTACAGGTCAGATTCAGTCCAAGTTGTCACGCAGGTAGCAAATGTGGATTGACAACCAGCGTACCGGTAAAAAAGGAGCGTCTACAAATAGTAATGAAACAAAACTCTAAAAGCACAAACAAAATATTTGGATGAGTCAGTCAGTGCATACTCATTTACACAAAACATCATGTCAGAATCATGTCATGCCAATTACGATTCAGAAATGCTCTGAAGGCAACCAGCAGACAATAAGAAAAACAGTAAGACTGTTAAAATAAGAATGGTTTATTAAGTTTCATTCTGGTAATTGTCATTCATGATTCGTTTACATGTTTGTAATCATTCTAAGGTAAACACGATTGATACTGTTGTTTCCAACAATGATAAATGCTTTCGTTCTCGCCCGCCCCATTCTCACCAGCTGAAACTCTCACGCAAGCTTGAGTATTTAAATCCTACAAATGTGTATCTAAATGCATATGAAAATGCCAAAACGCGCACGCTTTCATACGATCCCCTTGTAAAGCGCACCCTCATAAGACACATACGCAGACACATTTACATAGACATTCACTCTTGACATTGTCTGCAGCGGTCTGAGGAATGCTTACTCATTCCATTACTGCACTGAAACCCCGCCCTATTTGAGAAACCCCTCCCAGCCCCGCCCACCAATATAGACTACAACAATCTCACACTGTCCTATAATAATGACTCTCCTTATGAAGAAAATGCACCTATTTCAACAGAGCAATGGATGAGGATTTTTTTGTAACTACTGTATGAGTTGTGACTCAATTTGCTGGCACATGAACAGAAATAAAGGCCATGAAACGAACAAAAACAAACTAAATAATTTGGCATTAGCAAAGATGAGGAAAGATCCCTCAAGAAAGCAGACAAAAACTCACAAAGTTTCAAAAAAGGATCAAATGATCAATAAATAACTCAATAAATTAAGTATATAAAGTAACATACTCAAAGAGCAGTTAAATATGTATCGTACGGTAAAAACTAATTCTGCATCGCAATTCTTTGATATAAAACAGCGAATTGCAGTTTACGACTCGACCGCTCTTACAAAAATGGCCACTATGCTAATCAGTGGCAATCCAGTACACGTACACGTACATACTATAGCAAATAGAAGTCTATCTATCATCTACCGTTCATTCGGTCCGATTCTCTTTCGTTATGTGCGCTGCTTGATGACCAAACTTTTTCGGTCACACAATGTACAAAAGTGATGGTCTCTGACCGATAATGTGCCTCTAGTTTCCAAGTTCAGCAATGGAACTAGGAAACTAGATGGAAAGCGTTCGCATTACAGCTTGTAGACGAGGCCCGGCAACTAGCAGAAACAGCAGCCGTGACTTTCTGTGATCGATTCATAAGCCTAACACCTGAACTTAGTGACTGGCAAACGAGTTTTATTGATCTCTGCTGCAGCACTATCAATGACTGACACATATCGCAGTCACATAGGTATGGGTCGTGACAGAATGTTAAGACAGGATCAAAGGTCTCCAATACTCCTCGAGTCCCTCAGCTGAGATTCAGAGGTCAAAGCACTGGCCACTATGACGCTCGTCATATCCATTTGAGCTCATGTCAATCCAAAAATGTCCACCTCAAGAGCTGCCCCAGTCTGGATAGGTTCATTGAAGACGAGAACAGACGTAGCTAGAGGTAGAGACCTCACTGTCTAACCGGATTCACTTTTTTATTTTTATTTTTTGAGAAGAGTGGACGTTCCATTACAAAGGCAAATTCTGAAATCGATGCATGTCATCCTTATTCGTAAGGTCCAAAATTGTGGAGACAAAGGCCACTATTTGGGTGCGGTAGATCTACAATTAGCTCCCACGTTTAGGGCTCGACTAGTGGTTAATCTGTTCTGATTGAATAATCTCTTCCGCACAGGTTGAACGAAAGGCGATCTTTTTCTTGGAGCGCTCGGGACTGCTTGCTCAGAAATGTCAGAGAGAGAGAGAGAGAGACGGTTGCTAGGACACGAGGAGAGCAGCGAGGAGAAGCGTCGCCACAGTGATTAACAGTCGGTCTCCAGACGGACTGCTGCCACTGACACTCTTCTCCAGTTTAGGGATCTCAGGGTTAAACTCGTCTGAGAGAGAGAGAAAGAGAGATCAAAGAAAGAAAGAAAGAAAGAAGGAAAGAAGTTAGTGAGCATCTAAAACCTTTTTTATACAGATAAACAGTCTACAAAACTATATAAGTTGCCTCAGAGTAAAATGTTCAAAAATATATACCTTTTTTAAAGAAGTTAACACATTAAATTCCGCAAGATTGCATTAAACTGATCAATGACAGTAAAGACATTTATAATGTTACAAACGTTTCTGTTTTAAATAAAAACTATTGAACTTTCTATTCAATGAATCCTGAAGTATCATGGTTTCCACCAAAATATGAAGCATTGATAATAAGAAATGTTTCTTGAGCAGCAAATCAGCATATTACAATGCTTTCTGAAGGATCATGTGACACTGAACTCTTACTGATTCCAAACTTTTGAATGTGATTTTAAAGCCTACAATATGATTTTATTTCTTATTTCAAACTTTCTCGCAATTACTGCTTTTATGTTGTACTCTGAGGTGGAAACCAATACCACATCCATTCTCTAATTGAAATGTTTCAAAAACAAAACTGAAACGAACAATATTCCATTCTGTTTGATAAGACTAAAGAAATAGATGTTACAAAATGTCCAACGACTGTGACATCATACAGATGTATATATAAAAATCTCAATGAGCAATGGTTAACTGTAGCTGTTTATTTCGATTTCCATCATGTTAGGCTAGTCTTATCAGCAGGGTATTCAAGAGAAAGGTGGGAAATTATTGAATAAAGAGTGAGGGAATGAGAATGTGATGGGAACATCACTCTAGGCTGGAATCAAACCTGCATACCTCACATGAGCACCATGGCTCAGTGTCAAGAACACATGCCTTTACCATTAAGCAACAGCAACCAAAGGAAAAAAAAGTTGTACCTTAAAGTTAGACGTTGACATAGATGCTAAATTATCACCTACTAAACATCAGCAAACGACAAAAGGGAGCAGGGGAAATAATGATTCCTCTTTGAGTAATGTCATTACCTACAGCAACTGTAATGGTTTCCCAACAGTCTTCTCCAAATATAAGGAAGATAAAACTCATCCATTCATTTTCTGTATTATTACTGGCCCCAAAGCTCTATAACATTCTACAAGGGTTATTGATGATGAAAATAATCACTTAGAAAGAGAGAGACAGAGAAAAGAGGAAATAAAAGCAGCAGAGAGGAGGAGAGATAGTGAGAGAGAAATCTTATCTATTAAAACAGGAGATAAAATTGACTGGGAAGGACATCAGACAGAAATAAACAAAGAATGTGTGACATTTCTTATCTGCAGCAGCCACGCTGGATGTTGATAAAGGCCGCTCGGGCAGTTAGAGGTTAAACAGTCTGCTGTGATAGCAGACGTGAGTGAACATAGACACACAGCTCAATGGACGTATCAGTGGAGCCGGGTCAACACATCATGGAAATGTCTGCAATTTGTTATTGTTGATGCTCGCAGGTACAAATCCAACTGGACTGGTTCTGCTCTATGTGTGACAAAGTAGGATGTGTTCCTGGATCAACATCTTTTGCTGGGTCTGGAACAACATTCCTGTCAAACAAATATAATCTTATACCCTAGTGGTTCTCAACTAGTTTTGCTTAAGGACACAGATTTGACGTTGGACAAGTGCTGATCCAACACTGTTCCAGAATTGTTTAAAGTGCAAAAGTAAACAAAAATGTTCTAGCTGTGAATCCAAGCTGCACTGTAAGTTATATTTATGGCATTTTACGCCTTTTATTGGGATATGACAGGTTATGTTAATTCAGCAGAAAATGACTAGTTAAAAATTTCTGTAAAAAAGTTTACATTTTTACTGTATTTTTTACTGAATTATTCTGGCAACCACAGCTGCCAGTTTTATTTTTGTAAAGACAACGGTATTTTTTTAAGTGTATGAATTTCATGTGAACAACAAATAAAATAAAACAGCACTTTCTACACATTTGAAAGAACTGTCACTACATAATATACATAAAATAAATTTCAGTAGCCAGTTTTACTAATTTTTGTGCAAATCTTGTGATATTGCATACAAAAATGCTGGATGGACACCAATATGCTTTTTTTTTACATTGTTTTTTTAAACTTCCATGACCACACAACAATATGCAAAATCAATAATGTGGCATGGGCTGTATAGGAAAATGTGCTATTTTATCAATAAAATAGCAGAAGCATAATTTGCCAGTGTAAAACCACAATTAATTGGGCTCACAACAATGGTCAACAGGGTGAAAAAATAGACTAAACCCTCTTCTGGATCCACAGTCTGATTCCACTCACTAGGGCATCTTCTTTTTCTTGGACATGTCCTGGCCAGGATTTCTAAATTGCCTAAAATGTCTGGGTTTTGCCTTTGTTTTGCTATTGTTTTCATACTTGCTGAAGGTAATGACTGAAAAGTCATTTAAAAAATAGTGTGCAGTCTTTTTACATAATTGACCAATGGAGGTGTGCAAGAAGGTGGGATCTACAGAGAACGATCAAAGCAATGCAAATACATGCACATATAATGTATGAGGACTGTTGAGAGCATATCAACAAAAAAACAAAGCCAAAACCCATACATTTTCGGCAATTTAGAAATCCCAATCAGGACATGTCTGGGGAAAAGAGGCTGTATGGTCACCCAACCACTCACCAATCATTTATAGATATGTCTACAGTAGCCTTTTAGCCAAATAAAGAGGAAAAAGCCTTCTGTTTCACCTTTTTGGCTTTCTTTGCCTGTGACTTGGCAAGCTGAAATAAGAAACATCAGGTCTCCTGGGTCTCTAAGGCTGTGTTAAACTTTGAAAGTCTTTTCAGAATAGTGATTATCCATTGCTTTTTTGACATTCGTAACCCTATCTTATCATATCTGTTTCATCGAGGATAATCCCTGACTGGGACGCACTATATAATGTGTGCTATGCACAGACTTAAGCAGAATGAATGTTTTAATGCAGCGTCAGCACAGATGATGGTATTATGGAGCTGTTGACAGAAAACAAAGTAAAACTTACTTTTCAAGACTGCTACACATGCCATTTTTTTTCTTATAATAGGGTGGTTGACCTGTCAGCAATGTGTTTTTTTTTTTATATATACGGTTTGGGAAAGCTAACAGGATGTTGACAGCTTTAGAAGCAGGAGGGTCTGCGTACAAACAGAGGGTCATTTGTTCATGTGGTTTATGTGTTTCATAAATGGATACAAGAATCAGTGCCTGTGCATTACACGCACACACACGCGCATTACACGCACACACACACACACACACAGAGAGAGAGACCTACTGCTAGAGTGCTTTTGGATGCCTAGGGTGGTGTAAAGTGCCAGCTATTTGTTTTGTTATGTGTTTTGTCAAGGGCATGTGGGCGTTGAGCCAAGCTGTGCATCCCGCAGTGTGTCCGATGATTCTTCCTGTGAACCTGATGTGAACTTGGGTTTCTGGGTATTCGCTGGACGTACATTTCAGATGCATTCATAATGCGTCTCACTGCACATTTACAGCTCGATTTCTCAGAATAAAAACAATATTTGAGTAAGCATGAGGAAGCAATAATTGAGAGAATGAATAAATGCATTCATTTGTTTGTTATTGGCCATCCCCTGGTCACAGGACGTTATCTGGCCTAATGGTCATCCTGGCTTTTATGAGGAATTTCAGATGCTCACGAGGCAGATTAAAACAAACATATTTTTGAAAGCAAATTAACATTTGTGTTAAATACTAAAAGCCAATGTGTGTGCAGGCTTCACATGTTTGTGTGTGTTCACTTACCAATGTCATGCAGTTTGGGTCTGACAGTGTAGTCAGGTGGACTCTGGTTAGAGTCGTCATCTGCATTAGAGGCTTGAGCAGAGAAAACACATGATCTGAGTTTAGACAGTGGCCCCAAAGACTATTTAGACACTTAAGGCATTGTTCACCCCAAAATGAAAATTTTCTAAACATTTACTCAACCTCAGGCCATCCAAGATATACATGAGTTTGTTTTTTTATCAGAACAGATTTTGGATAAATAAATGTAGCATTACATCACTTGCTCACCAATGGATCCTCTGCGGTGAATGGGTGCCATCAGAATGAGAGTCCAAACAGCTGATAAAAACATCACAATAATCCACAAGTAATCCACACAACTCCAGTCCATCAACTAACCTCGTGAAACGAAAAGCTGCGTTTGTAATAAACAAATTCATCAAGAGATGTTTTTAAATTCAAACGAGTCCTCTATTCGTAATATTGCTCTCTCCAGTGGAAGTCATTACATCTGAATCAGGAGAGAAATATGTACAAATCAAGCACGTTTTACATGTGAAAAACAGTCCAAAATCAATTCTAAACAAATATGCCAGTGGGTTTTGATGGTTTGAGAGCAACAGGGGATGTATTTTTTCACTGCAGGAAGCATTATTACAGATTACAGCCAGAAGCAATTGTTTAATATTAAAAAGCCTTAATGATGGATTTGTTTATTTCAAACAAGCAGACTTCACCAGACATTAATTGATGGACTGGAATAATGTGGATTACTTGTGGATTATTGTGATGTTTTTATCAGATGTTTGGACTATCATTCCGATGGCACCCATTCACTGCAAAGGATCCATTGGTGAGCAAGTGATGTAATGCTAAATTTCTCCAAATCTGTTTTGATAAAGAAACTGTTCAGGTCACGCTTTATTTTAAGGTCCAATTTTCACTATTAATTAACTATTAACTGCGACTTTTGCCTCAACTCCTAATAAACTCCTAATTACTGCTTAGTAAGGTAGGCTAGTTGTTAAGTTTAGCTATTGGGTCGGATTAGGGGTGTAGAATATGGTCATGCAGAATATGTGCTTTATAAGTACCTAACCTCGTGAAACGAAAAGCTGCGTTTGTAATAAACAAATTCATCAAGAGATGTTTTTAAATTCAAACGAGTCCTCTATTCGTAATATTGCTCTCTCCAGTGGAAGTCATTACATCTGAATCAGGAGAGAAATATGTACAAATCAAGCACGTTTTACATGTGAAAAACAGTCCAAAATCAATTCTAAACAAATATGCCAGTGGGTTTTGATGGTTTGAGAGCAACAGGGGATGTATTTTTTCACTGCAGGAAGCATTATTACAGATTACAGCCAGAAGCAATTGTTTAATATTAAAAAGCCTTAATGATGGATTTGTTTATTTCAAACAAGCAGACTTCACCAGACATTAATTGATGGACTGGAATAATGTGGATTACTTGTGGATTATTGTGATGTTTTTATCAGATGTTTGGACTATCATTCCGATGGCACCCATTCACTGCAAAGGATCCATTGGTGAGCAAGTGATGTAATGCTAAATTTCTCCAAATCTGTTTTGATAAAGAAACTGTTCAGGTCACGCTTTATTTTAAGGTCCAATTTTCACTATTAATTAACTATTAACTGCGACTTTTGCCTCAACTCCTAATAAACTCCTAATTACTGCTTAGTAAGGTAGGCTAGTTGTTAAGTTTAGCTATTGGGTCGGATTAGGGGTGTAGAATATGGTCATGCAGAATATGTGCTTTATAAGTACTAATAAATAGCCAATGTGCTAGTAATATGCATGTTTATAAGCAACTAGGTTAGTGTGACTTGGTCCCTATAATAAAGTGTTACCAATTTTCATTTTTGGGTGAACAATTCTTTTAAAAATGAATGAATGTCCTTGTATTAAATAACAAAACGACAACAATAAAATCACAGTAAATTGCAGAAGCTCGAACAAGTGATGCATAAACTCTGTATTAAGATAATAAATTAGATGCACTTTGCATTAAAAAAAGCATGTCTTAGAATTTTTCTTAGTATTATAAATACATAAATACATTTATGAAGATTTGTGAAACTCATATAGAGGGAATTAGGGTAAAAAAAAAATTCTAACTTTCAGTCTATGCATTTGCATTTTTTCATGTATAGTGTTATACAGTATAATACTCCAAAAAAAGCTGCTATGTTTATTGCAAAATGCATATATTTACTGCCTTAATATTGAGTTTACATTTTTAAATTGAATTCACATTTTCTTGCTGTCCCTTATTTATACACATCACTCGTTCAAACTTGGAATGATAATTATGTACAGTATGTAAACACAAAGCATTTACAAACACACACACACACACATAACTGAGAATGATCAGTGATTAATGTAAATAAACGTGTTGAAGAGATGAATGAGTTATGATATCAAAGAAAAAGAGAGCAAAGAGTGACAAGAGAAACTGAAAGAGAGAGCAGGGGATGAGAGGAGCTCTCCACACATGGCTGTGATCAAAGAGGCCACAGAACGTGTTCAAGCATTAAGTTCTGAAAATAGTTTGCTCACACACAAACACACATTAAACCCATCATCACAACCTTCACTTGTGGTTTGCATGCTTTTTGTTTCTATGGGTGTGTGTGATGTTGCTCACCTGTAGAACAGCAGACAAACACCCGCAGTCTTAAACAGCTGTGTCCGTGGTGATGGATTGGTGTAGCTGCAACAACACATGACAGCACAAACATTAACCTACTGCCACCTACTGGACAATGACATGCACTGACATCACTTTTAGGATCTGAATGTAATACTAACTTACTATGTACTACCTCACGTTGTTCCAACCTGCACGAGTTTCTTTCTTTTGTTGAACCCAGAAGAAGATATTCTGAAGAATGTTGTTAACCAAACAGTTGCTGGTAGCCATTGACTTCCATAGTTTTTTCCCCTACTATGGAAGTCAATGGGTACCAGCAACAGTTTGGAACAACTTGAGTGTAAATGGTGACAAAATGAAGACAACTTGAGGGTAAATGACGACAGAAACATTTCGTGACCATTTCCGTCCCTACTCTGACCATTAGAATTAAACAAGTTGTTTTTGCTACTGTACCTTTAAATCTTCCTTACGTAAATGAGCACAGAATAACTAACTTTGCATATGAAACGAGTAGCAACCTGGTTTAAAGTGTGTCTACGCTTTATTTCAAAAGAGCAAAGCAAATGATATAGTCCCTTTAAGGTGTCCAAGGCAAAGCTCCTTCTGCTGAGATAAAACAAACACTAAATACATAACATTGCTCTAAACAGATACGGTGTACGTTTATTAAATTATCCATTTCCACAAGCTGCAGATACCATCTGTGACTGATGAATTGGCCCAAAACGAACTCCCCTGAGCTCAGACAAAGATAACGTTTCCTGTTTTCAGGTTGATATACATATGGGCCACGTTATCATAGAAATGTTTGAGTGTGATACCATTTTTCAATACCAAATAGTTGTCGTGCTATCATTAATAACCTGCCTACAGACCGCACTAATGAAGACGACTATTAGCATTAGGTGGGACATGCATCAGAAAATCATCATTAGCAATGCTCTATTAACACTCGGTTTACAGCCTGCATTAAAAAAGTTTTCAATCAAAACGAGTGCGCTCTAATTGGTAGTGATTGACCCAAATGCCAGAAAGACTGATGATCGGCGGCCGCCCGTAATGCCCATATCCCGATAACAAGCTCCTCTGGATGACGAAGCCATCCCTTTTTCACCAACAAGGCAGTTTTGAGAGCAAATGGACTGCTGGGAGAGATGCATTTGTGCCTGTCCTTAGGAGCTTTTTTTATTCTCAGTTGTGATTTGGTCAAATGAATGAAACATGGTTGTGTTTGAAATAACTCGCCGCCTTGCTTCAAACCACCGCTTCGTAACAATAAAGCCTTTTAAAGACGATCACTGGGGTCGCAAATTGTTTTCTTCACAAGTTTCTTTTGTTAACCGCATCTGTATGACTTATCTGTAACCCTGCACATAATGAAGCTCACGCAGAAAGTTCTCACTCCTTTTATTCCTAACTCAAAAAACTCTGCACTATAATCGCCACATCATGAAAGGGAGGATCCTGCCAAGGCACTTCTGCTAACAATGTCCCCTTGAACAAAGCATTAAACTTCCATCTGCTCAGCAGTATGCCTATCCCTGTGTAATAACCTTTTCTGTCAGTGGAGTTTAGATAAAGTAAGCTTACTGCAACCAGGAACTTGCCAGCTAAAGAACACTTTAAAGGATTATTATGTTAAATACAAGTTAAGCTCTACGGACAGCATCTGTGGCATGCTGTCAATAACCACAGAAATAATTTTGACTTGCACCTGAGTTTGTTGACAGAAATCCATTTGTAATTGTGCAACATTTGCCCCAGATACTTCCATTGTTTGCTTGTTTTTACAAACTGAGGAGAAAGTCTGAAGTATTTTCTGTGATAGCGTGCCATCAGATTTCCATCCACATACTCTTATGCAAATATTGGGATACTGCATAAAAAATTGTGAATAGAAACATTAAGATTCTCTCCTCTTTTCTTCTATTTGCAGAATGTGCACACAAACATACAGACTTGCTCGAGTATAAACTTTTATTTAGTTCGACAACAATCCTCATAAACTTTAACTGCAACACAATTACTGAATAAATTCGCCAATGGGTGTCAAAAATAAAAATGAGACTTTTGAGTCATGTGACTGATTAATTTAGTTGGCTAGTATCATCTTCCAGAATGTTCTAGTATGCTGCTGTTTAAGGCATGAGGCATCTGCCAAAGATTGCTAGCAAAAATATAATTCTTCAATGTGTGATTTATTACGTTTAATAAAAATGGCTCTAATTTACATTTCTATTTTGAGCAAATTTCCCCAAAATGGGGGATTTTTCTTCTCTTGAAGACAATTGAAAAGCTGCTTTACTTGCAAAATGTTTTTTTGCAAAATTCCTTTTTTTTCTCTCACAAATTATTATTTTTTTCCTTGGATGGACACTTAGGTACTTATGTTATTTATTTAGCTTAATTTGTTAAGTTGAACTTAGTTACTTTCATATTTGGCTGGTCATGTGAATATACTAGCAGGGTTATTATTATAATTATTAACTAAAAGTAAAAAAAAATTGAAATAAAATTAATGTTAACTGAAATTAAATAAAATGTAAAAAACAAACTTATTTTACTTCAGCTAGTTGTCAAAGCAACATTAAGTTGATGCACTAAAATAACAATAACTGAAATAAAAATGAATAAAAACAATAATTAAAAAAAGACAAAAACATACTAAAACTTTAACAAAAATTGAAATAAAAATGGAAAATGCAAAGAAAAAAAAAAATTCTAAATACAAAAAAAAAACGATAATAGTATGTCAATGACACTAAAATAACATTGCATACCAACTTCCATGAGTCGCCCCACTTCATGTAAAATAAAACAGCTTTTATTAGGTAACTGATATGACTTGTGAATGTATATGATTTAAATTTTTTTTAAAATTATTATTCATTTTCTTAATCAACAGAACCTTAATACATCAGTTAACTGTTTGAGGTTTGTGACTCTGATGCTCTGTCGACAAAACCTCAAAACTAAACATACAAAATAACAAACTGTAAAAAAAAAAATGTTAGAAAGCGACAAATACTCACATATATAGTAGTACTCATGACCCACGTTGAATTCATAGCCTAGCGAGAAGGCGCTGTAACGCTGAAATTTCTCAGAGAACTTAATTGGTGCGTGGGGGGCGTGCGGCCGGTTGCACTCCCAGCGTTTGAAGCCCATCTGTGGGTCGCAGGTGCGATAGCCTCGGTAACTGACCATATAGAGAACGTACTGCTCAGCCACACCACGCTCTAGCGCCCCCCGCTGACTCTGGTTGTAGTGTGGACAGTAGATGTCCAGGTAGTCGTTAACGCTGACTTGTACGGTGTAGCCCTCTCTCCGCAAGCTGAAAGAAAGAGAGAGGAAGGAAGGGGAAAAAGAGAAACAAACAAAACATTATTATAAGATTAGTGTTTTTGCTATTCGAGTGGCATCAGTGTCATATTCTTTGGATTTTCTAATGGACAGATAGGAAAATGGAAGAATAGTGGAAGATTTATCTCATCGACCTTTTTAAAACGTATAAGTCCTGCTTGAATGGAAAAGCAGTTATATTTCAATGCTTTGCCACAGCACATTAAACCGGATCATTTTTCATGCTTAATGCGTGCGAGGCACCGATCAAACAACAGGGGGCAGTGTTTCATTTCATGGCGGCCCTTCTCATTTGACTCTCTTTGTCTCACACAAGCTCACACAGAAAAAACGTGCTAATACACACACTCGCGCTCTTCTAGGCCAGGTCCCGCAGGAGATTATTATTCAATTACAAAATGAGGATCAGAAATGTCACCCACTCCTTCTCCGTTCCTCTTCCGCTAACCCCTTTCTCCTCGGTTTCTGTGTCTTTCTTCACACTTCCTTTCTCTTTTTTTTACACACTTTCTGTACTACTACACATGCGAGCTGTTTTTTTGCTTTCTAAAATGCGCATTATTCACGTGTCCTCTTTATAGCTCTGCTCCTCCTCTTTTACTCACCGTATCTGCTTTCTTTTTTCCTACAGCTTTTTCCCCCTCTTTTTTTAATCAGTGTCTTTCTTAGCCTTTTATCAATACACAACAGATGGCAATCACATCCTTGATTAGGGCTTTCTCTCTCTCTTGCTCTCAAACACGCAGACAGCATGAAAGATTTTTGTCATGCAGTGTGTTTTGGGGAGGGATGCTTCAAAGCTGCTATATTTAGTGAGAGGGAGCAGGCAAGGAGTGGAAAAGAGAAAGATAAAGGGAGAAGATGAAAGAGTGAGGAAAAGCAGGAAAACAAAGGATGAGATGGGTACGGAGAGGCACAGAATTGGGACGCTGATGTACTTCACACTCCTGAAGATGATGATGTTGAGAGGGGTGTGTGTGTGTGTGTGTGTGTGTGTTGGTCAGGTTTTATCTACACTGCAGGGACCAAATGTCCCCAAAAGGGGAATAAAGACTAGAATGTCACAGTGTGAGCACCAGCCAATAGCTCCCATGAGGAAAATCGCTTAATAAAGATACTAAAGTAATGTCCCAGGATGCATCTCATAGGGTTGGTTGATTGAATGTCTAGACAAAGACACTCAAATTTAGAAAAAAAACTTTTGATTTGTTGAACATTACGTAATTCCAAACCTTCATTTGTTATTTCATAGGTGCGATGACTTCATTATGATTCTAAAATGTGAAAAATTGCCATGGTAAAGATTAAAAAACGAATGAGCAGATGTGTCCGCACTTTTGACTGGTAGTAAAAGCTAGGTTTGACCTAAGTTAAGGCTATTTTGCTAACTTCCACTGAATTACACTTCTATCCAAATCTCTGCCCTCTAATGTCATGTCATCAAACTCGAACACATAAAAGGCAGCGAGTGTTTCTGATCGGCCAAAAATGTCATCATTTTGCCAAGTCTAGAGCTGTTACAGAAATAGGTGTGATTTCTTAGGACATCTATATCAGTGATATTTGTCAGGTCATAGTACAACTACGTGTGGTACATAAAAAAGCAAATTAAAACATATTTTAAAAAGTTTTTATGCATACATAATATATATATATATATATATATATATATATATATATAACAGACAAAATGAATAATAGTTTTGACTGTGGTGAAAAAGGTCAAACTGATCATTTGAAGGAATAGTTTATCTAAAAATGTCAATTGTAATTTAATAGCCCTCATTTTGCTTCAAACCCATTTATTCTCGCTGTAAAACACAAAATAATTCTTTGGCATAATGGTCCAACCCAGTTTTATTTTAGCATCATTGAGATACTATTATAGTGTTACTGTTTTGAATATATATATATATATATATATATATTAGGGGTGTAATGGTACACGTATTTGTACCGACAATTTTCGGTATGGGTCTTTCGGTTCGGTATACATGTGTACCGAATAAATCGTTCTATTTTTTTTCAGGAAATTCAGACAATAAATTTCGTTTTGGTTCTCTTTGACATGGCGCTACAGATCGCTGTATACTAACGCCTCAGTTCTGATGGAAGCGTGAAGCACGAGTGAGCACAATCATCCCTTCCTCTTTATTACTAGTTTTAATGCAAAATAAACATGAATTAACATCTTACCGTAATCGCTCAATTAGCGTTTCAACCACGGAAAGACGTCATTAAAACAGCTTGTAAACAAAATGTCACATAGCATTTCATTTACCTCAGGTCAAGTCATCACTGTCTACAGCTCATTATTTGCTAGAGAAATGAAGTCTAGTGAAGAGCATTTTGCAAAATATTAGACTACTTCATTATATTTTACTTTACCTGTTAGGGATGTCTTAAAGGGGTCCTATTACGCTCTTTTACAAAGTCTTTATTTTGTTTTGGGGGTGTACTAGAACAGACTCTCATATCAGGTTGTTCGAAAAACACATTATTTTTCACATATTTTACATTATTACAACACCTCTCTCCCCAGTCTGGCATGAACGACTCGAATAGTTCCTGTATCAAATGAAGGCCCGCCTTCTGAAATACGAAATGTGCTGTGATTGGTTAACTGGGCCAGTGTGTGTTGTGATTGGCAACACTCGGAGCCTGGTCGGGAAATGTCACGGCCCTAACCATAGAGCTTCAGTGTAAATATTGCGTCAAAATCAAATAAATTTGAGCGCTTTGATAATTACTGTAGTTACCATGTTCTGAACATCACATCCTTTCTTTTTCCCCCAGATGTAATCTATCTAGGTGGTTGAATAAAAATATTTGGACTTTATATCTAAAAATTACCTCAACTTAGCACCAGCAAGCTTGTTAGCTAGACAGTTAGCATCATCAGCTAATATTTACTTATTTTCAGTACTGTTATGATGAATAAGCATTCATATCGGTCTACTCCGCTAGTTAATCCAAACAATATAAAAATTTATACTGTTTATAAACAATATAAAAACAGACGTCACATAGGACTAAATGCGTAGCATTTTAATAAAACTGTTACCGTTATGGCAGCGGGGAATATGAACGTGCATGAGTTATTTTATTTAATCTGTGTTATTTTAATGTTTAGGTTTTTTTTTTTTACCTAAAACACAGAGACACTGATGTTGATGTGTCTGTATTCAAGCATTTCAGTGGGCTTAAATAGATCACCCTTTACAGCAGATTTAGTTCACAAACAACTGACAGTTTTGACCTAAATATGATTTTCAGTTACAATAATTAATCCTAAAATTCGACATTAGTAACTTACTTTTAGCAGCAT